CAGTGGCGTCAAAATTATGAAGTTTTCTTCGTCCTCAAGAGTAACAGCAAGGACCCTTGGAATAAACTTCATTTCTTCCCATTAAGAATAACTTTCGTAACGGAGGTATTTATCTCTTGAGGGGCTGGAATGAGGTTTACAAATAACTGCCACTGGCACTCGAGATAAAACCGACGGTGGCTTCGAATCCTTCAAATCTTCAGCTGATAACGACGACTGAATCGTAGTGCATCGATCTGCTGTGTCAGATGCACCTCACATCCTCATACTCGCTAAAACCACCTCTGACTCAGCGCAGACGATGCCTCAGGAGCTAGAACTCCTGATATGCTACCGCCTAAGCATCATCGGCTGTTCGTACGCCACAGTGTATCAAATAGCGAATGATTTCTCAATAAAGTATGGCCTTCGAGAAGCTACTCGGATGTTCAAGTAGCCGTGTGACGTTTAAGGATATTTAAACTAAAAGTCTGAATGATATCGTGAAATTCATGAGTCACGGATTACCAATGCGGCACTAGCAAGCTATTTTGAGCTAATGGCAGGTCTTTCCGGCTACTGACAAACAGAACCCTGTCATATTTGCTATTTGCTATGGGATTAAGCAGCATTGTCATTGACTTGACAGCTTCCAGCTGCCAGACTATGACTGTTGCAGTCAGGCATACGTGTTTGGTGGCTCCTCTTCGACGCTGACTGCAGGAATTTCAAGTGCTCGGCCTTAGTGAACGAGAACGCTAATGGCGTTGTTTTCGCTGAAGACGTTCTTTCGGTCCTGATCGATTGTAAACGTCGAGTCGACAAATGTGAATACCCCTTGAAGAGGTTTCGTCTGTTTTGCATTTTATGAGGTGCACAGCTTTCACGTGCCATGCCATGCTTGATGTTTGAAACTTGACGTAGGGGGCCGTGTTGTTGTTTAAATCACGGGTAAACAGATATTAGGCCGAGGGAGAAGAGGGGGTGCCAAAAAACAACAGTACTCGGAGATTCACAACAGCATTTCGCTGAGAAGTCGAGGTTGAGCGGAAAGCAGTCCGGTCGGAGGCAAAAAATTGACGGACAGCTGAGTTCTTCTGTTCATGCTCTTGACACACCGCTCTCGCGTCATCCGTATCTTTCTGACGGTCGGCCATTCGAAACGAATGTCGATCTGTGTGAGGCGGTGTGCGTGTCGGTCTCCCTCGCCCTCAGGCTGCGCTGATGACCACTGCCTCTCTTGCCACGATTGGAACACTGTGCCTCTGCAGCAAAAGCCTCGTTGCAGCTCATCGGCGGATCGGCGGAAGGCGAGGAGGTTGTATTTTGACTCAGGCTTCTGTGAGACAGAACCGAACATTGTTTATAAGGTGATATGCTGTTTTGCACCCTGGGCCAGAGTTCTGAAGCACGCTTGGTTATTGCGTCGCTGACCTTTCTTCATCAGACAGCGGTTCTAAGTGGTCGACAGCAAGCACCGGAAGTACTTTGACAAAAGCCATGGCCTTCTCCATCGCTTGTGCAAATCCACGACTAACTGCGAGGCAT